TGACACCACGATGTGACGTTTTGGGCCAAACCCTTCTTCAGACATGACAGGTTCAGGTCCACACCTGTTATAAATAGGCCCAGGTCCAGTCAGCTGACCCACCATGTGACCCAATAAAAGAAAAAGGTTTTTGATTATAATTGTTGAATAGAATCTTTAGTACAGAACAGATGTTCACTCTGTTTTCAAGTGGTGTATTGATTTACCACAGCTAGGAGTATTTACACTATTTACAATTTATATACAAAAATAAAATAAAACAAACAAAACAAAACATTTTTAATACAAATTAAATAAAATGAAAAATAAAATGAAAAACAGTTTAATTTTTATCCCTGCAGCTCTTTTTTTCCCCTTTGCCACCAGAGGTCAACAAAGAGTCGATCTTATTCTGAACAGATATGAAGTTAAAAATAAATATCAAGTAAGTATAATGGAGTTTAAAATGCACTTATTACTATTTCCTCTTTGTATTTCATGTTTAATTATAATTTAAACGTGAATTTGATCATTTTGACATTTTATTTTGAAAAGCGCGTGTATTTTATTTTGGCAGCTTCACTTCCTCTCTCAGTAGTTGTTGCACAGGGGAAGTTCTGTCTCTGTTAAAAAGAATATATTTCATCAAAATGACTCACTGTTTGCATAAATACAAGAACACATGTTGATAAGACGATATTTTCACGTGTAATGGATGTATCTTGATGCGCTCATTTCAAGTTTTGTACATTTTATTTGGCGTGTAAAGATTTAAAGTTAGTTTTATGTTGTGGTTGTGAATGTCGTGAAAATGAGCGGCCATCTCACGGTGCTGTTCTCATTCTTACAGGAGCCAGTGTGTGTGAAGATTTACTAAGAGTATTTATAGGCCCATGTCTGTCACAGGTATGTTGTATTTTATTTGTATTTATGTAAAACGTTTTAAATTGTGCGTTTGTCTCTCCAAATAATTAAGCTCCACTGTCACCAATGTAAATGTAAAACTGTTTTATTGTTCATACATGATTTATATAATAGTGAGAGCAGAGTTGGGAAGGTGACTTTTAAAATGTATTCCCCTACAGATTACAGATTACATATCACAAAATGTAGTTTGTAATGGAATTCATTGAATTACTTAAAGTGAGTAATGTAATCTGAATACTTTGGATTACTTGATTTGCTGTAGAGAAGCAAAGACGAGGAAATCTTCACATAAAATGTTTTGTCTGATAAAGTTTGTTCCTGTAAAATTAAGCTCCACATTTATCAACTGTAAAGAGAAAAGTATTTTCTAAAAACATAGTTTTTTAGCAGAAGCATCAAGTCTTCTAAAGTCACAGGGATCAAGTCTGAGTCAAGTCTTGAGCCCTGATTCAGACATGAGCCCTGTGACTTCAGTCCATTTTAGTCCATTTTATCAAGTCAAGTCTCAAGTCCTAAAAATAGTGACTCAAGTCTGACTCGAGTCCAAGTCACGACTTGCAAGTCCCACCTCTGAAAGCTGATTAACTCCACACACTGTCCTGTCTTTTGTGTACGACCTGATGAAGAGGGTAATAAAAGGACAAACTGAGCACTGCATTAAAAAAGTCTGTTACGTTCAAAGGAAAATTAGGGGAGAGTGAAGTTATTATTGGTCATTTAAAAGTGTGACTTTACTTTTCTGGTGGAGGGTCAGTCTTTGTCTAGAATATTTCACCCTACAACATTTAACTTATTGGTCTCTAAGGAGAAACCACCAGGCTGATTACAGGTCAGATCTGTGCATGTTTTCAAAATGTGTTTGAGAAATGGAAACAGAAGAGATCTTTAATGCCATACTTTAAAACTTTCCAGGTAAAGCAATGAAAATTTCATGGAGACAGGTAAATAACAGACCCCACCAGAAAAGTTACATACTGCCATTTTAATTGCAAATGGTTAATATTTACAGAGACAATACAGTAAGTCCACTGACAGATACAGATATGCCCAACCAGAGTGTAATGTTGTAAAGTGACACATGTGAGTGCTCGGTCCTCACCCAGCAGCAGCAGCTTCAGCTCACGCCGGGAGTCCCTCTTGTCGTTTCCGCAGCTGTCTCTCGATCTCCTCGTTGATTCTCTGGTTCTCTCGCTCCTCCGCAGAGATGCAGCAGCCCGCCATCATCGTCCCCGGCCCGCGTGTCCTCTCCTCCGCACAGAAACCTCCTCTCTGCCCCGTGACACTAAAAGCCTCGTCCTGCTCAGAGACAAGGCCACGGCATCCTGGTTTCCGCTGTGTCCTGCTTCAGTTTAGCCACAGATGAATTAAAAAGAAAAAAAAGTAAATTAAACTAGAGAAACAATAATAAAATTCTTAAACAGAGCTCAGTGAGTGTGTGCCTTCACCTGCCGTGAGTCTGAGGTGAGGCTGCACCTGTCCCAACTTTCAGCGGGGCTCGTGGCGTGAGTGGCACAGGTGGACAGGGCGCGTGTGCCACATCTCTGCTGCAGGTAGAGCGTCACTCTGGAGCGACACGTCTCAAACGCGGTTCATGACTATTTTATCTACACAAAATGAATGAAAACTCTAATATCAGCTCGAATGTAGATGACCTGTGACAGATGACATCACAACCTTCTATAGGCCAATAATATTTAAGCTCAAATGAATATAGTTTTGTGTTTGTGTAATACAGGGATTCTAGTGCGGAGGGGGATTAGTGCTCTCGTCTGCAGTAAAAAGGTCCTGTGATGGACTCTTACTGGAGTTTGCATGTTTTCCCCATATTGTAGGTCCAAGGTTTCACCCAGTGTGTTTTTACATTGAACGTCTAAATGTTGTACTGCCCCCTTGTGGCGCAGAGGTTATTTAATAAAGTGAAAGTCAAAACTTATCACGTCTCCCTTAGATTTTATTATTACCTTCGCCAAGGAGGTTATGTTTTTCCCGCGTTTGTCTGTTTGTTTGTTTGTTTGTTTGTTTGTTTGTTAGCAACATAATTCAAAAAGTTATGGACCGATTTTGATGAAATTTTCAGGATTTGTTGGAAATGTGAAAAGGAAGAACTGTTTTCATTTTGGGGTTTGATCCGGAAGAAATCCTGGATTCTGGATCACTTTGAAATTTTAGTTAACATTGTGGTAAATGGGGCCAAAAATTTTGTTTCTCAATATCTCGGTTAATTATTGACCAAACCCCATGAAATTTGACTCAGGGATGGACAATGGGATCCTCTTTCATATTCCAAATTGAAAGATACGAGACAAATATTTATGGAAAACACAATTAATATGAGGGGGACTGTAGTCCTTGGCGGAGGTCTGCGCTCTCTGAGTGCTTTTCTAGTTATTATTATTATTATTATTATTATTATTATTATTATTATTATTATTATTATTATTATTATTATTATTATTAGTTAGTATATTATTATTATTAGTATTATTATTATTATTGTTATTATTTTAGTTTACAGAATACAGTTGACGCGTACAGTGCCTGCATGCCTCTATAGCAGTAGTGAGTACACACTGCGCATAGTCAAGTCATGTGGACGCTACAGTGATAAACATACAGGTGGAGTGGCGTCTCATACATATACACTTTCTCAAACGCGACTTTCTAACTCTTGATCATGAGAAATATATATACATTTATATATATCATTATATATAAAAAATTAAAAAAATTACAAACGTCCTTTAAAAGGCTCAGTAGTTAGTTGATATTTAAAAAAGGAAATAGTTTACTTTGGACTCTGGTGTAATAGGAGATCTGGCGTTTTTTTTTTTTTTTGTTTGTTCTCATCTACTGCACATGCTCAGTGAGTGATAAATCTTTTTTAAACTTTCGCTTTAAGATTATGGCGCAATAAGACATTCGGACGGTGAGTATTATTTTCATTAACTAAAAATCTATACTATAGTTTCTAAACGCAATAGCTGGATTAAAGTAGTAGATCTATGGTTTAGATAAACACAGAGACGCTTATTACCATACAGATAGTGCTATTAGGTTAATTAACACTTAAACTGAGATCGTTAAACAAAGACAAGAGATGGGAGGGCCTCAATGCTTTCTTCTCCTCTAGTGAATACGATTAAAATACCACAGTAAAAGTCTTCTGTTTATAAGTTTTGCTCATAATGCTTTTTTCCTCCAGATGTGATTTTCCCTTCTGACATCATGGCAGCTGGATCTGGCAAGTTCATTTTATTCTAAACTCTGAAACTGACACACGTTTTAATGAGCTGTTCATTCTGGGATCAAATATTTGAAGATGAGAAAATAAACACGTGTGGAGTGGCTTTCATTTCAATGGTCATCTAACTACCTTCTGTTTTGTTTTGTATTTGCAGATGTTCCACTTCCACTGAAGCGTAGCAGAAGTTTCCCACTGTTACCACCTGACAGTAAGTAAATAAAAAAATACACGTGAACTTTTCCTTTATGAACTTTTTCCTTTTTCCAAATGGTTCACTTTTATTGTGTAAAACTACTTCCTGTTTAGCACTAGTGTGAAATAACTTGACAAGAAAAAAAAAGTAT